TAGGTGTTCATATCTTCGAATTTTAAAATTTTCAATGTAGCAAATTTCTCGTTCGTGTGATCTTTTTTGTTTTTTTTCAAGTAGGTCATTGTCCGTACAACTCTCTTTTGTGCAGTAACCAGAGATTGTGTTTTTAAAGAGCCAGAAACCCCCCATAGTGTGTGACAGTGTATCAGGTGTTGGTAGACAAGATCATGATAGATTTCTTTCATTGTTGTGAGAGTGAATGACTGTCGAGTGTGATACATGATACTGTATAGATATGGAAATACCAAGATATGTGAACACGCCTGAAAGCAAGACTCTGTTACCATTCATTGTACCATTTATTCACATGTCTGTATTACTATATATTATTATAGCATGTCTGATATCTATGCTTATGCCTATGCCTACTTACTATGTCCCGATGTACTATGTCTGTACCGCGCTAGTCAAGTAACTAGAAGACCTCATTTATTGTCCTAGTAATGTCTAGCAACTCTCCTTGCCTAGCTAGCTAACTTCCCTCAGATCAGCTTCGGCCTGGCTACGACACGGAGTCCTTTGTGCTTGCTCCTGCTTCTGTATCGGTCGGTTAAAAAGCCAAGTCTTGTACTACTTATGGAATATATCTACTGCTCGTGCTCTGGAGTTTGAAGAACCTTGTCTAGGATATACATCCCACCACATGGCGCAGTTGAGTAGCTCCAACACGACAGTTGACAAGTCTCAAGAGCCGGCCTCGCCTGTTTCCCGGCCTCCTCTGTTTCCCGCCCAGAAGATGTACTCTACAGTGCCCCTGGATTTAAAGTGCTTTGTGACCTTGTGAAGTGCCCTAAGTGAAGTGCAGTGCCTTTCATGTCTGTTTTGCTATGTTTCTGGGGCCCTACAGGTAGCAGAAACCCTTTCAGCCCAGTTTTCAAGAGAGCACCTACGGCATACATCCTCCGTCTGCGCCGGCCCGCATGCCACTGCCCCCCCTCCAGGGTTGCCAACTCGGATTTTCAAATGTCGCTAGGCTGGTACCTAAAAGTAGCTAAATGTCGCTAAATCTTCCATGGAAAGTCGCTAGCTATTATTCCCCCCCTTCAGTAATTTGATGCAAATAATATTTTCATAATGCCGACTATAATGGACGGAGTATAAATAAAATGCATTATGTAAAAATATCATTTTTCAGATTTTCTGTGAAATGTGGCGCAAGAATATTGCATATTATCCCAGAACACTTTGATCTTTTTAACTTGAGTTCACTGCCTGCCTTGCTGTCACTAAAACATATTTTACACACTTCACTTAAGTGTTCTACCACACGAATAGAACAATGTTCAGCTACAAACATGGCCAGAGTTCCCTCCACTTTTTTTGCTTCACCAAGTTTCTTGAATGGTAAAATTGTCTCTTTCTGCACTAAATGGCTATGTTACCTACATGGACGGCAGTAGACTACCAAAGCAGCAGATTTACCGTCACCTAACGAATAATAAATGTAACGTTGGCAGGCAACTAAAAATGTATAAGATTTCTCTTAAGATGGACCTGAAAAAGTGCCAAATCGACCCCCTCACCTGGGAGACAATTACTTCACACTGTAACGCTTGCAGGAGCACCACAGAAGACTACACACCGAGGCAGACAATCACCAACGCCGGAAAGGCGCTGCCGCCGCCCCTCTAGCACTAGATGTAACCCCCCATATGTGCAACATCTGTGAATGGCACTGTTGACGAAAGACCACTTTTCTTGGAACCATGTTTATTCTGAGTAATGTTTCGGTGAATCACTCACCCTTCTCAACACAGAGCCTGCTACAAACTGGCTTCAACTGGTTCCAAGAATAGTGGTTTTCTTCAATATATAATTTATCGCAGAAATATATTTCAGTAGAATATTTTTTAAAGAGAATCTCTGTCATGATTTGGTTCCAGAACGTTTATAGAATAAAAAATAAGTGTCCATCATATCGATATTATAGGCATGTTTGTGTGTGTGTAATAGTAATAATAATAATCATAATAAAAATAATAATAACAGTTTATTAATAGAGTTGCAGCCAGTGGCTGAAAATATACAAACTTACATGTGATTTATGCATAATAATATACGTTCAATACATTTACAGGGCTGTACAGTGCATAAATCTGGAGCTGTTTATTATTTTAGCAATAAATGAAATGGTGCTATTCTTATATCTATCAGTGAGGGGCTGAATTTGGTTGTAGTGGCAGACTGGATGAGGTGGGCTGGGGACTACAGGTGGTAATAAGTGGCGATGACGAGGATGGTGCAGTAGTTCACTACTAAATCCTGCGAGTGCATGGTGTGGAGGTCACTGGGGGATGGCATTTCCAGGGTGGAGAGACCATTGTTGTAGCCGGAGTAGTCTGCACCGTGCATGATTCTGCAGGCCCTCTTCTGTACCTTCTCTAGCTGACGTTGTTGGGTAGAGTTGAGAGAAGACGACCAGGCTGGTGACGCATGCATTAATTTGGGAAGTATACAGGTAAATGCGTTGTAGATAGTCCTCAGCTCTAGCGTGAGTGCCAAAATTGGCCTAAGTCGTCGTAGCATGTAGAGTCGGTACGAGGCTACCTTGATACTACTGTTTAAATGGGCCTTCCAGTCCAGTTTGTGGTTTATAGTTGGCAGACTGCATTAACTGTAGAGGATGGGCACCCACTCTAACTAGAGTGGTGGCAGTGTTGATGTGCATGACTACGGTTTTGGTGTGATTGATAGTGACCTTGTTTTACGTAGTCGATGCCTGTAGCCTGTCCAGAGTGCCTTGTAGCGAAGAGTAGTCTGGTGAGGTGTTGTCCACTGTAACCCCCACAGTGCAGTCATCCACATACTTCCACCTGTGAGGAGTGTCCGATAGAGCGTCGTTGATCAGGATTAGGAAGCACAGTGGTCCCATCTTGGTCCCCTGGGGAACACCGCAGGTGAGGTGTTGGAATGTGGAGACATAACCCTGGTACCTCACTGCCTGACGACGTTCACTCAGGAAATCAGTGAGCCATGACACCAGGTTAGTGGGCAGCCCTAGTGCAATGGCCTTGTTGATAACAGTGCAGTGATCAACAAGGTCAAAAGCCTTCCTGAAGTCAACAAGGGCAACGGCCAATGATATCTTATGTTTCTCCAGGGTTTTGTGCAGAAAATCCAGGAAACTAACTAAGCAGTGTGATATAGAGGTGGTCCTCATATTGCCAAATTGCTGTGGATCAATTGACTGATAAATACTAGCAAATGCCCCATTCAAAACAAAGTCTTCACAGAATAGACTGAGTATGGGGGTAATGGTAACTGGCCTGAGGTCACTAGGGGACTGTGGGATGGGGACCTTGGGGATATGGATGACAAATGCGGTTTTCCATTGATTAGGGCATTTGCTTTGTCTGAGGGATACAATAATAATGGAACAGAGGGGGGGGGGGGTGGCATGTTCGACTGCAAACTCCTTGTAAATTTTGATTGGGGGGTCAATTGGGGTTGTAGAGCGTTTGGATTTAAATTTCAAGAGTTTGTTGGCAATTTCTAATGGTTGAACACTGGGAGGGGGAGAGGGGGAAGGTAAGTAGGCCGGGAGGAGAGTCAGGTCAATACTGGGTAGGGTATGACATATGGTGGATATTAATTATCTCAGCTGCCTCCTCACTAGGTAAATGAGAGATAAAAGGAAGCGTGGGAGACTGGCGTTAAGACCACGGAGATCTTTTACCTTAGATACCACTGACCGATGCCGACCTCCTTGAGGCCGTGCACTTTCCTGGGATAATAAGACTTCTTGGCTGACTTGATTTTCCAGATGACTTGGTTACGTAGACTTTTGTACAGGCTGTTGTTGGTGTAGCATGCCTTGTTGCGCTGCTCAATTTGTCTTTTGATGCGGGATGTAATTCACGGGACATCATCGGGGTGGATCCTTAGTGTCTTGGCTGGAAAGAAATGGTGGTAGGCTTTGGTGATAGTGTCCAGGTAATTATCCCACTTGTTCTGCACATCGTTTACCGTGACCACTTCAGTCCAGGGAGTCTGGTCACCATTGTCCGAATCGCCGCATGGCAGATTCAGGGGTAGGTCGGTAAATCCTGGTGACAACTGGCGGTCGTGAGATGGTAGGTGTAGGTGACCACAGCAGCGACAGGTGGGTGCTTTACCCCATGGGAGGATAGGCAGGGAATGATAGGCCACACAAACAATGAGGGAGGCAAGCTGGTGGGGGTGGGATGTGGGAGTGACCTTAACCCACAAAGCTTCTACATCCTCAGGTACATTAACACCTAGGTGTGATGGTGTAAGGTCACTGCGACAGTACAGCACTAAACCACCACCTCTCCTGTCTTTTCTAAGGTGGTGAAATTACTCATAGTTTTCTATGGCACAGATCTCAGGAACAATTTGTCACGCCTCGGTTTTCGCCACAATATCTGCACCAACTGACTTCACTGTAACACTGACCTTCTCCACCTTGCATAAAGATGTAGCATTGGGCATCAATCGCTGCACTTCATAGCGAGCACACTGATTTTTCTGACACTGGCTTGACTTTCTTATGCTTGCTCGGCGTTATGATAGGGATTCATCTGGGAATGCGGCGACGCCGTCTGCAGCCACAGTTGTGAAAGATTCTCAGCACCTTTAGTAGAGTGATGGTGTGGGGTGGATGATGGCCATCACCAGACTTCAGCCGGAACAGGTCGGTGCGACGGTATCGTGACACTGGGATGCACATATTCACAAGTCTAGCACTCACAGTCACTGACACCTTGAAAATGCGCACTGTCTTTCCGTAAAAGTACTGAACTGCCTTAAATTAGCTATAGTTCGACGTGATGACCATGGCTGCTGCAGAGCGCCAGGAGACACTTCCTCACTCAATGAGGTTGCCACAGTGTGTGTGTATGTGTGTGTGTAACAATAATTTGATCAGCGCTACCTTTTCAAATTGAGCATGGGAAACTAACAGTGTTCGTTGAATGGCGAATCGACACTGATTACCTTTTTGTTTATAACAGGTTCATAGATGAGTCTCCACGCTGGCTGATAGTGAAGGGCTATCATAACCGGGCCATCAAGATATTGAAGAAGGCGGCACGCTGGAACAAGGTTGACTTTCCTTCTGAATTTGAAGTTAATCGGTTTATTACCGAGGAGGTAACACAAACACTGAAAATTTAATTTTTGTTTTATCACATGCTAGTGTTGATCCAGGTTGAGGCCAGGCTTGCTATAACTATACACCAGATGAAGTCACGCTCTCTATCTTTATACACCAGGTGATGTTAGGCTCACTATCATTATACACCACGTGAGACCAAACATGCTATCATTATACACTAGGTGATGTTAGGTTAACTATCATTATACACCAGGTGAAGTCAGGATCGCTCTCATTATACACCAGGTGAAGTCAGGTTCACTATCATAATACAGCAGGTGAAGTCAAGCTCTATCATTATATGCCAGGTGATGTCAAGCTCACTGTCAATATACAGTACACCATGTGAAGTCAGGCTCACTATCATTATACAGAAGGGGATGTCAGGCTCATTATAATTTTACACCAGGGGATGTCAGGTTTACTATCTTAATGCACCAGGTGAAGTCATGCTCATTATCAAAATACACCTGGTGAGGACATTATACACTACCATTATACACCAGATAAAGTTAGGCTCATTATCATTATACACCAGAGGATGTCAGGCTCACTATCATATACACTAGATGAACTCAAGCTCATTATCATTATACACCAGGTAAGTCAGGCTCACTATCATTGTACAACAGGTGAGGTCAAGCTCAATGTCATTATACACCATGTGAATTCAGGCCCAATATCATTGCACAACAGGTGAAGTAAGGCTTACTATCATTATACAATAGGCGATTTGAGGCTCACTATCACTATACACCAGGTGATGTCAGGCTTATTATCATCATACACCATGTGAAGCCATGCTCATGAAAATACACCAGGTGTATTCAGGCTCACTATCATTATACACCAGGTGAGGCCAGGCCCACTATCTTTATACACCAGGTGATGTCATATTCACTATCATTATACACCAGGTGAAGTCAAGCTCAATATCATTGTACAACAGGTGAAGTCAAGCTCACTATAATTATACACCAGGCGAGGCCAGGCTCGCTCTCATTATTCACCAGGTGAAGTCAGGCTCACTATCATTATACACCAGGTGAGGTCAGGCTCACTATTATTATACACCAGGTTAGGCAGGCTCGCTATCATTATACACCAGGTGAAGTCATGCGCATTATCAAAATACACCAGGTGAAGTCAGGCTCACTGTCATTTTACAGCAGAGGATTTCAGGATCACTATCATTATATACACCAGGTGATATCAAGCTCATTATCATTATACACAGGTGAACTCAGGCTCACTATCATTATACACCAGGTAAAGTCATGGTCATTATCAAATTACACCAGGTGAAGTCAGGCTCACTATCATTATGCAGCAGGAGATCTCAAGCTCACTATCATTATACACCAGGTGATGTCAGGCTCACAGTCATTGTACAACAGATGTAAACAAGCTCACTACCATTATACACCAGGTGAAGTCAGACTGAGTATCATTATACAACAGGGTTTTCAGGCTAACCATCATTATATACCAGGTGATGTTAGGCTCACTATTATTATACACCATGTGAAGCCATGCTCATTATCAAAATACGCCAGGTGAAGTCAAGCTCACTCTCATTATACACAAGGTGAGGCTAGGCTCGCTATCTTTATATTCCAATTGAAATCAAGCTAGCTGTCATTATATACCAGGTAAGGTCAAGCTCACTATCATTATACACAAGCTGAAGGCAAGCGCACTATCATTATATAACAGGTGATGCCAGGCTCACTATCATCATACACTAGGTGATGTCAAGCTCTCTATTATTATATACCAGGTGATGTCGCGTTTACTATCTTTATGCACCATGTAAAGTCAGGTCTTCTACCATTGAACAACAGGTGAAGTGTGGCTCAATATCATTATGCAGCAGAGGATTTCAGGCTCATTCTCATTACACACTATATGATGTCAGGCTCACTTGTATTGTTCACTAGGTGATGTCAAGCTCTCTATCATTATAAACCAGGTGATGTCAAGCTCACTGTCATTATACACCATGTGAAGTCAGGCTAACTCATTATGCAGCAGGTGAAGTCAGGCTCACTATCATTTTACATCAGGAGAAATCAGGTTAACTATCATTATACAACAGGGATTTCAGACTCAACCATTATACACCAGGTGATGTCAGGCTCATTCTCAAAATACACCAGGTGAGCCAGGTTGGCTATCATTATGCACTAGGTAAGTCAACCTCACTATCATTATACACAAGATGAAGTCAAGCGCACTTTCATTTTACACCAAGTGATGTCACACTTACTATCAGTGTACACCAGGGAATGTCAGGCTTACTATAAATGTACACCATGTGAAGTCAAACTCACTGTCATTATACACCAGTTGATGTCAAGCTAACTCTCATTATACACAAGATGAAGTCAGGATCACTATCATTATACACCAGGTGAGGCCAGGCTCACCATCATTACACACCACCTGAAGTCAGGCTCAATATCATTGTACAACAGGTGGAGTCAAACACCCTACCATTATATACCAGGCGATTTCACACTCACTATCATTATACACCAGGTGAAGTCAAGCTAACTATCATTATACATGCGGTGAAGACAGGATCGTTCTCTTTATACACCAGGTGAAATGAGGATCGCTCTCATCATACAACAGGGGATGTCAGGCTCACAATTATTATTCACCAGGTGAAGTCAAGATAATTATCATGATACACCAGGAAAAGTCAGGATCGATCTCATTATATAACCAGGTGAAGTCAGGATCACTATCATTATAAACCAGGTGATACCAAGTTAAGTATCATTATATGCCAGGTGATATCAAGCTCACTGTCATTATACCCCATGCGAAATCAGACTCACTATCATTGTACAATAGGGGAAGTCAGGTTCACTATCATTATACACCACGTGAGGCCAGGCTCACTATCAATATACACCAGATGAAGACATGCAAATTATCAAAACACACAAGGTGAAGTCAGGCTCACTATCATTACACACCAGGTGAGGCCAGGCTTGCTATCATTATACACTAGGTGATGTCACGCTCACTATCATTATACACCATGTGAGGAAAGGTTCACTAGCATTATACGCCAGTTCATGTCAGGATCACTATCATTATACAACAGCTGAAGTCAAGCTATCAATATACACCACGCGAGGTAAAGCTCACTATCATTATGCAACAAGTGAAATCATTCTCATTATCATTATGCACCAGGTGATTTCAGCCTCACTCTTATCATACACCAGGTGTGGCCAGGCTAACTATAATTATACGACATGGAAAGTCAACCTCAATATCATTACTCACTAGATCAGACCAGGCTCACCATCACAACACACCAGGTCAGGCCAGGCTCACCATCACCACACATCAGGTCAGGTCCAGCTTCACCATCACCACACACCAGGTCAGGCCAGACTCACCATCATCACACTCCAGGTCAGTCCAGGCTCACCATCATTACACACAAGGTCAGACCAGGCTCAACATCACCACACACGAGGTCAGGCCTCGCTTACCATCACCAAACACCAGGTCAGGCCAGGCACACCATCATGACACACCAGATCAGGCCAGGCTCACCATCACCACACACTAGGTCAGGCCAGGCTCACCATCATCACACACCAGGTCAGGCCTCGCTTACTATCATCACATACCAGGTCAGGCCAAGCTCACCATCCCCAAACACCAGGTCAGGCCAAGTTCACCATCATTATACTCCAAGTCAGGCCAGGCTCACCATCATCACACACTAGGTCAGGCCAGGCTCACCATTATCACACGCCAGGTCAGGCGACGTTCACAATCATCACACACAAGGTCAGGCCAGCCTCACTCTCATCACACACTAGGACAAATCAGGTTCAAAATGGCTAGGCTCACCATCACTGCACACAGGGCTCAGCATCATCACATAAAAGGTCAGGCCAGGCTCACCATCATCACACACAAGGTCAGGCCAGGCTCACCATCATCACATAAACGGTCAGGCCAGGCTCACCATCATCACAAACCATGTCAGGCCAGGCTCACCAACATCGCACACCAGGTCAGTCCAGGCTAACAATCATTATACTCCATGTCAGACCTGGCTCATAATCACCAAGCAACAAGTCAGGCCAGGTTCACCATCATCAAAAACCAGGCAGGCTCCTCATCACACAAGATCAGACCAGGCTCACCATCACACACCAGGTCAGCCCAGGCTCACCATCATCACACGCCAGGTCAGGCCAGGCTCACTATCATCACACACCAGATCAGGCCAGGCTCACCATCATCACACACAAGGTCACACCAGGCTCACCATCAACACACGCCAGGTCAGGCCAGGCTCACCATCATCACACGCCAGGTCAGGCCAGGCTCTTTATCATCACACATCAGATCAGGCTAGGCTCACCATCATCACACACAAGGTCACACCAGGCTCACTATCATCACACGCCAGGTCAGGCCAGGCTCACCATCATCACACGCCAGGTGAATGAAACCTGCCATCATAACTTACCTGAGTCCTGGGCTCAAAATGGCTTGGATCACCATCATCACACAGCAGGTCAGGACAGGTTCACCATCATCACACACCAGGTAAAGCCAGCCTCATCATCACCTCACGCCAGATCAGGCCAGGTTCACCATCATCACACAGAAGGTCAGACCATGCTCACCATCATCACACACAAGGTCAGACCAGGCTCAACATCACCACACACTAGGTCAGGCCTCGCTTACCATCACCAAACACCAGGTCAGGCCAGGCACACCATCATGACACACCAGATCAGGCCAGGCTCACCATCACCACACACTAGGTCAGAGGCTCACCATCATCACACACCAGGTCAGGCCTCCCTATCATCACATACCAGGTCAGGCCAGGCTCACCATCCCCAAACACCAGGTCCAGGCCAGGTTCACCATCATTATACTCCAAGTCAGGCCAGGCTCACCATCATCACACACTAGGTTAGGCCAGGTTCACCATTATCACACG